CTGAGCTCTATTTTAGTGACACAGTCATTAAAGTAGCCTTTTATAATTTGAGAAATAGTGCTCAGGTTCAGCCTTTTCTATCTCAGAGTGATGCAGAGAAAATTGTTTATGCTTTTTTTAAGGAGCTGGGCTCCTTATAAAAACAATACATCCTCTACAACCTCATACAGCAAGAATCCTAACAGAAACAAAATAGAAAGATCATATCACTTCCGTTATGAAATAAATGCACTGGCTACCTGTATCTTTCAAAATAGATTTTAAATTTCTGCTACTAGTTTTTAAGGCTCTAAATGATCTTAAAGCACCACTCACATCACATAATGTCTCTCTATTTAGGTTCCATCATGTGATTTCAGATCTGCAGATACAGACCTTCTGCAAACACCTTCTGTAAAATACAGAAAACATTGAGATACTCTTTCAGTTATTCTGCTTCTAAACTGTGGAACTCAATTCCACCTTTTATTAAACAGTTAAGTTCAGTGCTCACTTTTAAGAAACGTATCTCTAGCTTAGCTTTAATTAAAACTTGTCTCTTGGTATTTATATTTTACAACCCCATTTCCAAAAGAGTTGGGACACTGTGAAAAATCTAAATAAAAACAAAATGCAATGATGTGCAAATCATTTAAACCCTATATTTAAACCACATTCTCCATGTATTACAACAGCATGGGTCTGTATTAAAATAGCCCAGGTGCTAAACTGGCCTGCCTGAATTCCAGACCTGTCACCACTGATAACATTTGGCACATTATAAAATGAAAATTACGACAAAGGAGACCCTGAACTGATGAGCAGCTAAAATCCTATGTTAAGCAAAAATGAGAAAACAATTCACTTTCAAAACTACAGCAGTCGGTGTCCTCAGTTCCCGAACACTTACAGAGTGTTGTTAAAAGAAGAGGTGATGAAACACAGTGATAAACATGCCCCTGTCTCCACTTTTTTGGAATATGTTGTTGGCATCAAATTGGGCATATATTTTTTAAAAAACAATAAAATTTCTCAGTTTCAACATTTGATTTGTTGTCTTTGTACTATTTTCAATTAAATACACAGTTTGAATTAATTGCACATCATTGAATTTTGTTTTTCTTTACATTTTGCACAGCGTTTTTTGGAAATGGGGTTGTAATTTGATCTCTAGCATTTTCTTATATGATTTTAAATTAGTACTCATAATTTCTTCTATTACTGTTAAGCTTGATAACCTTTCTCTAAAGCACTTTGAGCTGCCACCGGCATGAAAATTGCTATATAAATAAAGATCATTATTGTTATTTTACATGTTTTGATATTCTAACCACAATGCATTCTTTTAAGTCCTTTACACAGTCGTCAATCTTAATAAGTTGAAGTTCATCCCATGGAACTGGAGGCGGGGCCCAGGAGGCAGCCGTCCACTTGTGCGCCGTCCAGCACTCCCTCTCGGATCTTATCCTCTCTCTGCTGTCACCACAGGCTTTTGTCTGCACTCGGAGTTCAGGCCCCACCTTCCTGTTTACTCTTTCAGCCATCATTGGAGCCCAGGGGATGGGAGCATGGCACTAATATGGCACTGATATATATATACTAATATATATATATATATATATATATATATATATATATATATATATATATATATATATATATATATATGGTGGGACACCATACTTAACGTTTGCACTAGACTGTTTACTATTTCAAGGCAGCCTCGTAACTAACTTTTTACAATTTTTATACCAAAGTTCAGTCTGGTAGACATGTTCTGAGACATGGTATTAACAATAATTATAAATAGAGACCATTCTAAAAACTGTAACTGACCATCATTTGTGCTAAAAGGCATATTGATACGTAACCCTTAGACTTCGATGATGATTGTTTGTGATTTGTGCATGATTCTTCCGCTCTGTACAGTTTCAGTGGTCCACACAAATCACAACCACTACCAAGGCATTAATTAAAAGGCATCAGATCTACCTAAAAAAGTTACTTCATGTGGTAGCAAGTAAATTAACTACTTTTATTCAACCTAAATAAATACTTTGAATAAACGATTCTTTCAATCATAAATAAATACGTTGAATAAATGATTCTTTCAATCCACATAGTTTTTAAGTTGAATGAAACTAGTTAATTTATTTGTTACCACATGAGCCACTTTTTATAATGTATTGTCAACAAAGCCCACTTTATTTTCTGAGCACCATTGTGAAATCATATTATGGCATTGAACATTGTCCGGGCTAATTTACACACCGCATACACACCTCTTTTTTTTGTAACATCTGTGTCTTTTTGCTGTCTTGCCAGCATTCTGCTTTGCTATCTTGATATTCTCCTTAAGGTGTGCTCTTGCACACACTGGGAGACATGTGATGAGCCAAATGCCAGATCAACAGGCACACCCAGATCATTCCATGGGTTTTACGGGAATGTGCCCAGGGGGCCCACCACAAGTAATTACAACAGAATCAGATCAGAAACAATCAGAATCAGAAACAGCTGTCTTGACTTGCAATGGGATTTTTTCTAGCTGTACAGCAAAAAGAAATAAATTAATTTCAACCTCAGACTCACTTTATTTCACCAAGTACACATACAAGAAATTTTGTCTTGGTGAGTGCACATATGTATGACAAATACAATGGTTTAATAATTTACACATTACTCACAAATGAAGCAAATAATGTTAATTATCTCACAACAACTGCACATGTGAAGTTAAAATTAAACACAGAGCCTTGCCATCTAGACAAACACGGGCAGTAGAATGGGTCGTACTGATGAGCTCAGTGACTTTAAAACATGGCACTGTCATAGGATGCCACTTCTGTCACAAGTCAGTTTGTGAAATTTCTGTCCCAGTCAACTGTAATTATTGTGAAATGGAAGCACCTAGGAGCAACAACAGCTTAGCCATGAAGCGGTAGGCCACACAAACTCATAGAGTGGGGCCAGCGAGTGCTGAAGCACACAGTGCCTATCCTCTGTTGACTCACTCACTAACAAGTTCCAAAGTTCTGTCCTCAACCCCATTGAACACCTTTGGATGAAGTAGGACAGAGATTGTGAGCCAGGTTGTGTGTGTGTGTGTGTGTGTATATATATATATATATATATATATATATAGAGAGAGAGAGAGAGAGAGAGAGAGAGAGAGAGAGAGGGTGATTCAAAATGATTCATCTGATTTCAAAATGATTGATTCCACTTGATTTTTTTAGACTGGTAATGGTTTAAGTGAGCATAAAGTTTTCTGCTCAGGGGTCTCCATCTCCTCACAGACTGAAGGGAGCCATCTATCTTCCGGTGACAGTCAGAAACTCTATGACCCCCTCTTTTAAATTGGTATGTGATTGGTTCCCAAGCACCTCATGGTTGTAAAAATATGGTGCTATATAATATATATAAAATGTTGTTTAAGGTATGGCTGGAGATAACATTTGCTTAATACTAACAATCAAAGTCAATAAAAATAACTTCACATCAGGTTAAGATACACTGTATAAAATGACAGTTTAACACAAAACCTGTCAAACCAATGGACACAAGGTCAAATCTAAACATAAGCAATGCACAACCATCATTTTCAATTGCCATGTTATCCATGATCCTACTATAATCTTACCCAGCCTCTTGAGTGCTGAGCTCTTTAAACAGTATAATTTTGGTGCTTTACACTGTAACTGTACTGAATGCAGTCTGACGGTGGTATTGACCACTCCGAAATGGTGGCAGTGTTGACATGCCTGGCTGAACCAAATGTAGCATCTATATTTGTATATCTGTGCATAAAAGATCACACATAAGAATTTTAATTTTGTGTAGATGTCATAAAAGCTTGAACATGTTGAGAGAAAGCACTGTACAAGCATTCTTCAGATTAACAATTACATTGCTAAAATTGTTTAAATAGATTCTCAAACCGTACATAAATAGTACATAAATCAAATAACAGTTCAAGCTATATAAATATACAGATCACTTTTATTTCTTTCCTTTTGAAAATACAAACTGCATCACTGCTCTGTGTATCATTTTCCATCTTTTTATGTAATTAATGTTAAGGCTTAATGATAGCTATCACAACAGCAAGTAAATCTCCAACACCTAACACAGCACCTTGTGACACCTCTGTTGCTGACACCTTTAATTTTTCTAACATTTTTCTTAAGCTCTGCATCTATTAGTCTGTTAATCTTAAAAAGTAAACAAAAAATTCCTACTCAATAGTATGACTCACTAGTGTTGGGTTTCATTGTCCACTGCAAAATCAATAACTAGAAGAAAAACAGTTTAATTTTCACCTTTTCAGTTTTTATCTTCTGAACAATTCCTTGAGTTTAAAATTCTCACATATCTCACAGCAATGCTTGAGCTCATGAAATTGTCTTTGCTTTCGCTTCTGAATGTAGCTTCCTGTTCTAGTCTTGTGAGAATCATTTAGTTATCATACATGACATCCAAGTGTAATAATGTCTGTCTTGTCCAGTGGTATGACGCTAAGAAAGGTTTTGTTTTTTTTTATAGGGTGGTGTCACAGCAAGCTTTGGATACATGATGCTTTGTGTATGTTTAGCCTGTCTGTATTTAATTAAACCGTCATAAAAGTATATTTAATTACACACTTTAATGTGTACAGGTTATGTGAACGTTTTAGCTGGTTGGTTAGCAACTTTGTTTTAGGGGTGTGAGTTACCATCTCCTGGGTTTGTGTTCTGTTTAATAAACCCAGGTGGGATTCTGTAGCAGGACATGTTGTGCAAGATGTTTAAAAGATCATATCTCCCTCTTGGAAATAAGAGTGATTTTCCTCTCTTGTACTCCGGCTGCTGAGTCAAAATAAAGCTGCATTATGGGCACAAACTTCGGGTTGTCTTCACTTCTTCTGTGTACCTCCCACACTACAATAGCATTAAATAATGTTAAAATGTTTCTTTTTTAGTAAAGCATATCTATAAAAAAATAAAAAAATAAAAAATAGAACACCAAAAGTGAATGTGGACATTTTTATTCACTGACAGAGATGTTTACACAAAGATTAATCAAAATCAATTGAATGTGTAACCCTTAAAAGGAATATTCCAGTTTATATGCAGTACAAGATAGATATACATATATAGATGGCATGTTGTCTGTTATTCTCAACAAGTTTTCTTGTATTGTTACAATCAGACATTTCTGCATGCTGCTGATTATTTTTATGTTTAATTTTCATACCACTATGGCTTATTAACAGCTGGCTATTCATGAAATGTTGATTGAAACAAAGAAAGCTGATAAACTTAAGCCACAACAAGTGACAGAGTGAAGTAACACTTAGATTTACAATGAATTTCTAATGGATTTCTCTGATACTAAAGATAGTTACATTATCCCTCTTTAGCAAAAAAACAAAGATCAAAAACACACAATCAATATGCTTATGATAAAGATTTTAAAAATAATTATATATGATCATTTTAATAATTTATTATTAATGCAAAGACATTAATGCAAAGACACCAGATGTAAATACAAGTGTAATAGTCCAAAGGAAGAGCTCCATTTGAGTGTTCTGTAAGGAATGGTCACAAAGTGCCATGCAGATTTCTTTATTTTTACGGTTTGCTTTCACATGTGTACATATGAAAAGCTTAAAATAAATTGATACAATACCTGGGCAGCTATGTTGCATGGATTGCTATCATTCTCTTGATTTATTTTTATTTTTATCTCATTATTGAGAATGTGCGGGCAACTAGCTGTCCAGTAGCAGAAATTTGGTCAGTCTTGTTGGATTGTGGTTAATTGTATAACTCCTATATGCTTATTCTGTCTGGTTCTGTTTATCAGAATAATCATTCTGTCAGGTCATCTTAGAATGTTCTGTATTTTTCCTATAACCTTGAGACTTTGAGCAAGAAGACTGTTTGTGCCAGTTGTTGTTTTCTCCCGCTCCCTGTGGGAGAACGAAATGAACCGGTGATCTGTGAACATCTCTCTATGAAGACGTCTTGAAATAAATTCTCTTTAAAAGTGCACGACTGTGTAGTTTATTCTCAATAACTTCTTCAAATGTCAACAGTCTGCAACTGGCAATATGACATTAAGACTGACACCATGATTTTAGTGTATGCTATAGTACAAACACAATGGTGTCAGACATTAGCAAACCCAGCAATGTGTGAATCTTAAGCTTCATGCCAGAAAATACATATCATACAAAAGCAGAAAGGATATGTTAATCTAATATAAGTATTATACAATTGATTAAGGTATGGGTGGACTTACAATGCACATTTGCTTAATAATAACAATATCAAAAGTAGAATAATAGTTCACATCAGGTGAAGATTTACTGTATAAAATGATATAAGCTTGATACAAAAACTCCAATGGATGATCTGTGCTACACTAACAACATGGCCTTATCTATACATAAACATCACACAAACCTCAATATCAATTGCCATGTTATCCATGGTATATAGTCCTGCTCAGCCTCCTGAGTGCCATGTCCTTTATATAGTATAATTTTGGATGGTGCTTGTCTTAAACTTCCACACTGTCGCTGTACTGAATGCAGTCTGGCAGAGGTATTGATATGCCTGGCTGAACCAAATGTGGCATCTATGTTTGTATGTTTATGCAGTAAATCTGATATATATTAGAATTTTAATTTTGTTTAGACTACACAAAAGCTTGAACTCACTGAGAGAAATTACTAAATACGCAAAGAAACACAAGCTGTGTACAAACGGTCCTCAGATTAATCTTTACATTAAATATTTTAAATACATGCATCATTCCACATACTAATTTTCAAAGTACATAACTCTTATTAAAGTTTACACTATACAACATACAGATCAGTTTTATCCTTTCCTTTGGAAAACACAAAGTAACACACTGCTCTGTGTACTATTTTCTGTCTTTTCTATGTAAATAATGTTAAGGCCTAAATGAGCCTAGCTAGCACAACGACAAGTAAAGCTCCAACACCAAACAAGGCACCGAGTAACACCTCTGTTGTTGACCCTTTGAATTTTGCTAACATTTTTTTGTGCACTCTATTCATTGCTATTTCTCTCATTTTCATGTCTTCCAACTCTCCATTTAACTCACTTCTAATAATCTCTTGCTCCGCCTCTATTTGTCTGTTAATCTTCCTCAGCATCTCATTACTGTAGTACTGTCCTCCATTCTCCTTCACCATCTCCTCTATGGTGTTCAGTAGCTTCTCTACCTGAACTCTGTTGCTCCTGTATCCTTCCTGTTCCTGCTTCCAGTATTTATTATCAATGACATGAACTCGACCTCCACACTTCTCTACAAGATCCTGTAGCTCTTCATTCTGCTTTACAAAGTCTTCAATCATCTGGTCTTCAGAGAGTTCATCACCATGGGTGAACAAGACCACTGCATATTTTAGAACTTCCTTTTCAAATGAAGCTGTGATTTGTTTCACAGTGGCCTGCTCATGCTCTGTGTACCTTCCAACTTTGAGCACAATCATAAAGGCATGTGGTCCTGGTGCACACTGGATAATACACCGTAATATTTCAGAATTTAATTTCTCCTGAGTAATATTACTACCAAAAAATCCAGGTGTGTCAACCACCATTATTTCCCTGTTGTTTATGAGCTTTGTGTTGAATTCTGATTCCTGAGTTACTGGGTTAGGTGAATTTTCAGCACGGAATAATGTTTCACCAAGTATTGTATTTCCACAGCTGCTTTTTCCATCACCTGTTTTTCCAAGAAGCACAATCCTCAGTTTATCCATAGCTCCTAGAAAGAGATGAAATTATATCACATCAGAAATTTATCTTGGAAATGGAATTCACAAATGAGTTATTGTACTTTGAGTCTAAATTAAGTGCATGACTGTGTACCAGCTTGGTTGGCCTCCCTCAGATCAGATAGTGACCATCTGTCACCTGTGACCATCCATCAGCACAGAGATCTAGCTCCAAAATCACCCAAAAACCACTTGCTGTTTTAGCCTTCATATTAAAAAAATGGTTAAAAATAGCAACACGATTCATTCATCAGAACACTCAGCAGAACCTGCCCTGATTAGCCAGAGTGAGAGATACCAGCTCTAACATCTCACAACCCAGAAATTCGGCTCAAAACACAGCCAGACCACTGAAAACCTGCTGTTAGCTCTCTGCTTTAGCCTTCATTTGGCAACAAAAGGGTTAAAACACTAACGCAATTCACACATCACAGCTCAGCAGGACTTACCCTGTGTGTCTAGGGTGACTTTATGGAGGTTCAGCAATGACTCAGTCAGTAATCCAATTCAGAAAACCACCGTTCAGATCCTGCATTTACATCCATTTAAATGACCCATTTAATTGCCTGACTGTGCATGTATGGCCTGGAATTTCTCAAACAGTCCTCTTTTTGAATCAGACTCTGAGTTTAGTGCTGGTAATCAGAAATTTACTGCTAAATACACGTGATAATGACAGAAACCTGAATATAACATAGAAATAAGACTATACACAAGCCATGTGCTCCATACCTGTTTCAGGGCTGAGCAAGTTGGGGGATGGGAGGAAAAACATGACAAAGGGTAAAGTTTCAAACTGCTACAGTGAATGGACTACAATCTTTCCCTCAAAATCACAAAATCAGGCCCTAAAACACATTTTAACAGATAAATAACAGTAAATCTCATATTTTTTTTTTTTTTATAAAATGAATGATATTTAGCTCTGTCTTTCAAATTTTGCAGATGCTAGGTAATACAATGGCATCTGAGTCACCCAGGGTCTCCTGAAAATAACAACATATGGCAGGAGTGACTGGCTCATGTAAATACTTTATAATTGTAATTGTAATTGTAATTGACTCAAATACTGAGCAATTACCCCAAATTACCATGGAGTTCTAAGGGTTAAAGAGTCTCCACAAACATGGAAACAAAAATAATCTTACTTTTATTTTCAGTGCCCAGCAGAGGTTATGATAAGGTCAGATGACATATCTTTTTTTTCTCTATCAAATGGTTTTCTACATTAAAATTACAAAAGATAAATAATTCACATTTTACCAATCAGAATACAGTGGGAAATGAAATGTATGTAATCCAAAGCTGTACTTAAGTGCCTGTTTCATGTCTCTCTATATCAATTTTCATTGTCATAAAGAGTTTTTATTGTCACTCCACTACAGTTCACTACTTCACTTTTGATTTCATTTATACACCCTCTCGCATGCCTTGTTACTTGATTGAAGACAAAATAAATCTGTTTTAAACATTTGACAAACCTACTATATTTTCAAGCTGAAGCCTTTTACCAAAAGTATCACAGGATTTATGTACTTTTTCCACCATTGATATAGGAATTTACACAAGCCCATAAGTCTTTTCTCTACAGATAAAAAATAAGGTTAGCAGCATAACCATAATGTGCATGACAGATAGATTAGACACAAAGTGTACAAAGTGTATTTTAACTCTAAAAAAGCAAAAGACCTTTACTGTTGGCAATTATTACAATAGACAATATTTAAAATCCTGTAGGTTCTGTTAATGTAACATAAAAAATAACAAGGTTTTGTTGAAGCCACTGCGGTTGACTCTTTCTTTCACTTTCGTGGAACCACACCTAAATAATGCTGGGACCTGTCCCTCCCTACAGGCAAAAATGGTTCATTTAACATGTGTGTTGTAACCTTGGCTTACACACTCTGACAGTACCAGCTTTGTCTTCTGGTTGTTGGCCAGGTAACTGCCACCCTGGGATAAAGAGCAGAGGGTAATAAAGCTATTCTTTACCAGGGGTGTTGGCCGAGCATGTAAAAGTCTGGGGCTCCAGTTCAGACTCTTCAGAGAGTGTAATCCAGGTGGGTGCGGTCGGTAGCTCAGTGACTGGGGCTACTGAACTGCAACTGGAGGGTTATAGGTTTTATCCTATGTAGGTACATAGAATGGAATATGGATCCTGTACTTATAAATGGAAGATTGTTCTTTATTGTTAGCCTTTTTAAATGTATTAATTTCATTTCCCAACTTTACACATCACTCCTTCTGATTCAACTGCTACTGAAACTGTGTTTAATTTTTTTGTGGCTCATTAGTAAATACAGAAACTTCTTCTCACATTAAGGCTAAATCTTAAATGGCTCCCTGATCCCGACATAGTGCATTATGCAAGAATTTAAATACTGACTCCTGCACCCAACAGTGTGATAAATAGTCATTTGGGATTCAGCCACATCTATATTCGACAAACAGTTCACTACTTGGCTGTAGAGGCTAGAATTTCAAAAACTTACATAGCACACTATTTAGAGAATACAGAGCAGTTTGGGATTCAGCCTGGGTTTGAGGCTACTTCTGACTGAAGCACAAACATTTGAAGCGTGTAAGACATTCAAGTTACATTTTTAGACTGTTATACTGATGTTTTACAGTGAATCATACCGTAAGTATTTTAATTCAAGCCTGTGATATTAATGATGGAGTTGTTTAGCATTTTTGCTATATTTTAGCCTGTTAGCTAGCTCACAGCCCAGTTCTAGTAAAGAACATAAGTTGCCAGCCCCTCAGTTAAAACAAAAAACAGGTTCTTACTTGATCAGTACACTCGGTGGTCCATTAGAGCAGCATTACAGTCAAATATTATACCATTAACAGCACAAGGATTTTTCGTGCCTTGGTGCAGTTATACAGAGTTCGGTTGTTGTGAGATGGCTATACGTGTGCATATATTGTGTATTTTACAAATGTCCACACAGAAAAAATACTCATCTGTGAACTATCTGTGAACAGTTACCTGAAAAGCCAGATACTCTGCAGAGATAATTAAGTGAAAGATTACATGTGCATGTTAGTTAGCTCCAGGAAGATCATTTCATCCATCTGTCATGCACAAATGTGAGTATGTGAAAACAATAACAAGTAATTCAGCAGAGACTTTCACAACAAACAAAGATATCATCCCCTCCAGGAGAACAGGGCCAATTATGCTCTCATGGACTCTGTACCAAGGTCGGTATTCAAACTCATGATTTCATGAAAATTGGGCAAGTCTCTGTGCAAGCCCTATTTGGATTGATTGTGTTTTTTTAATAGCTTGTATATGTTTGTACATTCTTGAGCACATGGTGATTACTTGAGAAGGTTGTCAGTCTAACATAATTTGTTTTTAATTCATTTTTTCTTTTCACTATCAATAGTTAGGGTGTTAATAAAGCTTTTAACGGTCTCTATCAATGTTCAACTCATATGGAATGTCCAATATCTCTGATGTTTACATATCAGATCATTTTTGTTTTTTTCACTCAAGTCAGTGTAGAAGTAAGGAAGAAAGTGTCAGAAAATGTGTTACACTGACTCAGAAACCACTGAGAAGTTTTTATAGTAGTGCATCCAATACAGCTATACAGGCATAACATTATGACCACCTCCTTGTTTCTACGCTCATTGTGCATTTTATCAGCTCCACTTACTATATAGGTGCACTTTGTAGTTCTACAGTTACAGACTGTAGTCCATCTGTTTCTCTGCATACTTTGTTAGCCCCCTTTTTACCATGTTCTTCAGTGGTCAGGACCCCCATGGACCCTCATAGAGCAAGTAATATTTGGGGGGTGGATCATTCTCAGCACTGCAGTAACACTGACATGGTGGTGGTGTGTTAGTGTGTGTTGTGCTGGTACAAGTGGATCAGACACAGCAGCGCTGCTGGAGTTTTTCAACACTGTGTCCACTCACTGTCCACTCTGTTAGACACTCCTACCTTGTCAGTCCACCTTGTAGATGTAAAGTCAGAGAAGTTAGCTCATCTGCTGCTGCACAGTTTGTGTTGGTCATCCTCTAGTCCTTCATCAGTGGTCACAGGATGCTGCCTACAGGACGCTGTTGGCTGGATATTTTTGGTTGGTGGACTATTCTCAGTCCAGCAGTGACACTGAGGTGTTTAAAAACTCCAGCAGCACTGTTGTGTCCGATCTACTCAGACCAGCACAACACACACTAACAAACCACCACCACGTTAGTGTTACTGCAGTGCTGAGAATGATCCACCACCCAAATAGTACCTGCTCTGTGAGGGTCCATGGGGGGTCCTGACCACTGAAGAACAGGGTAAAAGGGGGCTAACAAAGTATGCAGAGAAACAGATGGACTACAGTCTGTAATTGTAGAACTACAAAGTGCACCTATATAGTAAGTGGAGCTGATAAAATGGACAATGAGTGTAGAAAACAAGGGCATAATGTTATGCCTGATCAGTGTAAATCCCTCTTGTAATGATCTGATCTAAATGCTAGATTAATGGAAAGGCCTGACACTCTCGCTCGAGTCACATGGAAGAAAAACAAGCATACTCATAAAAATTTGTGGATGAATGTAAACTGGAGGTACATTATATTCTCAAAAAGCAGATGACCATCTATAATAATGCAATGAAAATATCCAGCCATACTTCTCTAATGTAATTAATAGACACAAAGATAATACCAAAGTAACCATAATTAATAGACATAAAGATAATACTAAAGTCACCATAGACCGACTAATTAACCCTAATGTATCTGCTAGTGTGGTGGATGGTGCTTTATCTTCTAAAATCTGCAAAGAGTTTTCAATTCTTTTTCAAAATAAAATAGACCTGATACAATTCAGATAACTGAAACAAGCTCCTATAACTTTCCTGATAAGCCGCCCTCATCCGATGTGACTTGAATGACAAGAATAATCTTTCTCTGTTATCAACTATCAGGAGCTTACTGAGCATATGTCATAAACAAATTAAGTTTGTCTACATGTG